GAGAGCGGCTCAACTATTTGCGACAACGACTTTCATTCCCAAATATTCAGGTGTCATAGATTTTGGATTCCAGTAGGCGTGTGTGTGTGTGTGTGTGTGTGTGTGTGTGTGTGTGTCTTGACGCTCTTTTAATCAGGGAGTAACCATAGGGTTTTTCTTCACACTACAGAGACTTGAGAAAGTACATGCATCCACACACACACACACACACACGCAAACACACACACTCACACACACACACACACACACACACACACACACACACACACACAATGAAGACTATCAAGGCTTTTAACTTGCATCTTGTATCCAGATTTTGTCTGATGTAGCTGGAATACATTTCCATGCCAGGGCACTGTACATGAATGTGCTGTACATTCATGTCGTTCTGATTCCCTAACTGTCACTGGGTGATGAAGAAAGTGTCTGTAAGGTGAAGAAACATTAAAGAATTGGGTATTGAGCTTTCACATCAGCTTTCATGATGTGTGAAAGCTGCAGGCCATTAAGAATATGGTCCCTGTGGCGACTTCGTGGGCTGGCGGTTTGAGATGTTGCACCGCAACTTCCTCGGTTTGATATGTCCTGGGAGATTTGTTGCATGTCATCACGGCATCATCTCTATCCCTTCAATGTCAACTTTCAGAATAAAAGCAGAAAAGTGCCTGAAAGTCCCCTGTTTGTTTTAATTCTTGGCTTTATCGACCTCTGATATCCAAGAATCAATGAGGCACCAAATTTGCTTTGAAAAGAAGCTTTCAACTCATCCAGAATAGCTTTGATTTAGCAAACAGAAGCAGAACCATGGTGAGCCAGTGTACAAAAAAGATCCAAAGCAAGCTTTAACCCAGAGAGACAGGATCCTGTCGATGGCTCAGCACAGTTTCATATCAAACGATCGCACCGAGACTTGCGGACGTCAAACAGAAGATAAGTGATATTAGATTTCTTTAAGAATCGGCTCTACCATAGCCCAGAGCGAAGAGGCATTGGCTTGTTTTTAATAGACAGATGAAAGTAAAAGGGAACTGAAAGATGAAAGTGAGGGAGCAAAAAAAAAAAAAGAGAAAGAGAGTATGTTTTTGTATGTGTGTGTGGCCTGTTGTTCAGCCTCCCCGCTGTGAGGAATAACCACGAGGAGATGGGAGGAGATTGATGCAAGAAGACAGAATGATGAGGTGGTCATTTTAAACACTACCAGGCATGGAGTGCTGTACACACACACACACACACACACACACACACACACACACACAGGGACCTCTGCGACCAATCAGATGTCTATTTTGTCATTTCAACAGCAATGCCAGATTTGCTCAGGATATGGACAGAAACAGATGTGTGTGACTGTTTTTTCCGTCAAACTGTGTGTGTGTCCGCAGCACACACACATTGATCTGAAGAGCGTTGAGTTCATTTCAAATTACATTAAAGGTTTTAACTACTGATATACGTACATGTCTTTATGGTTATATGTGCACGTGTGTGTTTTGCAGACCTGCGGCTACGGTGTGAAGGATGAGGACTTTGCCTGTGTGCCGTGTCCACAGGGGAAATACTCCAAGGGGAAGTACGAGATCTGCAGACGCCACAAAGACTGCGACGCCCTCTACAAAGCCACGGTGCGTGCGGCTGGGACTCCGGACAGCGATGCTGAGTGTGGGCCATGTTTACCGGGGTAAACCACACACGAGCACACACACATATACAAGCTTCAAACCCCATTTGTTACTGTGCAGCTGACCTATAATTGATTATATGTGAATATATATATAACACAGACACAAACAGAAATGTACATAGTACAATATGACTGCTCAGATGTTTGCACATGTATCCATACACTTGCTTTAAAGTAGCATGAGCTGACATGTGGACAGACCACCCTGCTGCCGTCGGTTTCATGCATTGTGCGCAAACACACACTAAATCCTCTGCTCCTCCATTTGCAAATGACAGCTATGGATGCAACCCCTGTCACTTAAAAAATATTAAGTCAAGGTTTAAATGTTACCAGACCTCGCTCTCCCTCCTCCCTCCTCCTATTCCTCCCTCCTCCCTCCTGTTCCTCCCTCTTCTCTCCACTGGCTCCTCTCTGCAGACGGACAGCTTCTTTCCTGGAGCGTTAAGCATGTTGTTTTAAATCTGCTGCTGCAAGACAGATATTTTGTCCATAATCGGTTGCTAAGGCAGTTGATAAAATCAAATTCCCTCCGATATGTGTGATTAAATGTGAGAAATATATAATTAGGTGGGTCTTGAAGGCAAAAGTATGAGAGACTGATGATTTGGTGCAATTTGATTAAACCCTCCCACTCCAATAAGGAAAGCGGAATGTTGAAATCTTTTCCTCCCATCATTCATCTGGATGCTGTCCTGCTGCCTCCTACTTTTCTTGGCTCTCGCTCCACTTCCGCAGGATGTTTTTTTTGCTTTTGATGAGTGTGATCGTTACAGGAACGAGCGTGCTCAGGAACACTGAGCTTGGCCATGTCGGGGTGTGTAACTGTGTCTCTGTACAATGTGCTGTGACACTGTAAGTGTGGTTGTTTGAAGCAGCAGATAGAGTCTGTGCGTGTTTGATGCAGAGAAGAACAGGTCTGAGCATTTGTTAAAGTTAAAGCCTGAAGCTCAGCAGAGGTGAAGAGCTGCAGGAGAAAGAGTCATGATGCGTCAAACGACTTTAGCAGCACTTTCACATAATGACGTGGACTAAATAAATACTTGTTTAGTGACTTTATAGTAACTATGTCTTGATAATACATACCAAACAAGGATGAAGATTAAATATTTGTGCAGTGAGAAAATATTGTTGGAGAAAATCTGAAAACAAATAGCTGGTTTATGACTCTTGTTAAACTTTGTAGGGCCCCATAAAGCATTTGTATTGATTATTTGACAAAGAAAATCATTAATTTGCTTTTGTTTAAATGTACAAAAACACAAACCTTTGTTATTTATATTTTGGTCCGACCAATAATGTGACCATGTAATTCACTGACATGTTGCAATACCAGTGTTAGAACTCGTGCAGAAATTGCAATTTTAGCCATCTTTCTTGAGGATTTTGCAGATTATCTATAAACATTGATCACATTTCTGCAATTTAATGAAGTCATATAACAAAATGGAGCTGCACTCAGAGTATGCATACCTCTGCCAAGGCCCAACAATCCCGTTATGAAACACATTTAAACTCACTAGATCCATTATTGTACTTGGATCTGCACCAAATTGCACACACTCATAAATATCAGTCCCACAAACATGTCAGAATTTTTTTTCCATCAAGATCCAGGAAAATCAGGGAAGCTGGTGAAAAATCTCACAATGTTAAAGAAGGTGAAAAATAAATCCTGGATCCAATATTTAATGGAGTCTTCCTTTGGTCGTGACCCAACCCTCCACAAATTTCATGGGTCGTTTTTGTGTAATCCTGCTAACTGACGAACAAACAAAAGCACAACTTCCTTGGTGGAGGCATTCATATTAAACATTAAGTCAAATGCTTTATTGAAATTTTACTGAAAAGAATCAAAAGCTTGTTGATTGTAAATGCATGATATTCATTCAGCTTGATCCATAGGAATCTGTTCAACATTTGTAACTGTGCTCAGTTATTTGTAGTTTGAATATAAAATCCATCTCCAGCAAACATCAAACCAGATGCTCCTTCATCGGCACGTCCACCAACATCCATAGAAATCTCATCGAATTACATTCTTGTGATTTGGCGTTGCTGCCGTGTTGTGCAGCACAAGACTGAACCAGTCACTGTGACATACATACAGACATATGAAGGCACCTGCAGGCTGCACAACAACACTGTACGCACGTACCCATGGATGTTTCTGCTCTCAAGCCTAAATGATTTAGTACCAGTGCCACTCAATCACACATTCAGGTCCTGGCTGCCTCGCCCTCCGTTCTCCTCTAATAGGCGTTCAGACGCTGGAGACTCAGGGCGATATCTGTGCCGAGCCAGTGTTTAGTGCCTTCAGGGCCTCAATTATGTACATTTCTTAACAGAGTCAAACTTTTCACCTCAGCTGCTTCCCCATACCACAGCACTGCGCCTGTTAAGTATGTCTAGAAGGTAGGGAGTTTGCGAATTATACACACCTGCCATGCTCAGTTGTGTTGCTTACTTTTAGGAATGAATACAACTGTTTGTCCCACTTATATAAGCCTTTTTGTCTCCTATAGGTATTACATGCTGGAGAACAGACCCAGAAACCTCTATGGGATGGTGTGCCACTCCTGCCAGAACGCACCGCGCAACACCAAAGAATGTAAGTGCTGCTTCTTCACACTTTCATTTCTCCCTCCCTCCCCTTCCTTCCTTCTGTTTTTCATCCTTTGCAACCCTATTTATTCTCTACTCAACTTTGAATTCCCCCTGTTTTCTTCTTTAATGCACATCTTCACAGCTTTGTCTGCACAAACAGATCTGGTTTCCGCCAGATTAAAAGCTACCAAACATTAAAGTTTCTGTCTAAATGAAAGGAAATAAAAGAGGACAGGCTGTTGCGAAAAGCAGATGTAACTGTGTGTGTCAAAGGCCTGGACGAGGTTTAAGGGAAACAAGTGGAGGTCAGATGTTGTGTCGAGTTCCCCCAGCCCGGTCACTGTCCTTCCTGTCACCGGGCCTCGGTGGTGGATAGAGAGGTGGACACCCTCTGCCCTAAATTAGCATCTCATTCATAACCTCACTGCCTCACTACCTCTCATACCTGACTGTGTGTGCACACTGTGCATGTGTGCGTGTTTTGGTTCCAGCTGTTGCTGCAACCACATCAGAGCACGATAATATCTATAGCGGTTGTCTCCATTTTCTTTCTGTTCTCCATCTGCATCAGCAGTTCATAAACATTTCTATACACAAAGCGTGAATAATGTCATGTGACACGTCTTGCTCGGTTTGATTTTCACACATTGGTAATTGGTCCATTTTTTATCCCTGCTTTTTCTAAATGCCTTTCAAAACCCCAGCAGATGGCAGTCAAGGAAAAATTAGGTTTTGATACTTTGCAGATTTTATATTTGCCACCATATGATTTAGTGTTTATAGCATATGTGCATTTCTACAAAAGGAGTCCTCACTGTATTGAATTATTTAAATTTATTGTCACTGATTCCTCGGGGGAATCATTATTATAAACGGCATTATTATTTTTAGTTAACTTTCATCAGTTTTGAAAAAAGGGGTTATGAAATCTTTCTCATGCACAGCGTTGTTGGATTCATCTGTTTTTATCTAGTAACCAAGGTGTGTGCATGTTATCAAGCCATTTAGTTTGAAAATCAGCCCCAGAATTAATTAATCAAGGAGATTAATGGACTTTAATTCTAGCAGTAATTTTCTGTAAGGTGCTAATTTTGGCCTTAACGAGTCAGTATGTTGTCCTACTGTGCCCTAAGTGGCTCTGTCCACATGTGACAAACAGACCACACTGATCTTGTCAACAGTATATTGATAAATACATATATATAGATATATATAACATGTGTGTCATAATAATAATATATATATATATGGCAACATGAACATTATTGATGGGCACATAATTGCTCAAAATCCCCCATGAGTGTAATTGAAGATCCCAGAAATGAATGGTGTTGTTGTTTTGTCATATTTAATGAGTGCGTTTGGAAAGATGAAAACCTCAAAAAGCAGCACTTGCCTGCAGCGCAGAGGGTATGACGGAGGACTGTGTGTGTGTGTGTGTGTGTGTGTGTGTACGTGGGTACATTTGGATAATTAAACACTTGCTTTTCAACAGCACTGTAATTGTTTCTCCCAGGCATTGAAATAAGTGATTGAATGATGGTGTGAAGATGTGCGAGTAAGAGTGATAGAATGATGACAAATAAATGTTATTATAAACTTTGTGTTCTAATTTATCAAGGTTATTTGGAGTGTCATTCTTTCAGCCAATTTCAACATTTAGGCATCTTGTTTTCCAGAAATGTTTTCATATTGAATTCTCTCAGAATATTGACATCACTCTTGTTTCTGGCTGTTCATGCAGCAGCTGTTCAGCTTAGAATAAAGACTGGAAATAGACAACATGGTTTGGTTTGAAGGTGTGTAGGTGTTGTAACACTTGTTTTTGTATGGTCTAAACAAGCTGAGTGGATTTTGTCACCACTCACTATACATGGACATATTCTGACTAATCTCTAACCTTACTCAGAATAAGGTATTATTTCAATTATACTAGTTACTTTCATATACTATTTAAGATGTTGTTAGTCTCATTGTTATTTTTCCATCTTCAGTGCATGCGTAAGTTGGTAACTGTTGTATATCAGTGTCGCAAAATGCTGTGAAAACTCCAATAGGATGTTATAGTGCAATTACAATGTAAACATGTAGGTAGTGTCTTACTCAGACTATTGTCTTAATCTGTTAAGTATTGGAACACAGGTGTCCATGTAAACGTAGTCATTGATGGGACGGAGCCAGACTGGCTGTTTTTCCACTCCTCAGGCTTAGCCAGGCTAACTGGCTGCTGACGACAGACACGAGCGTGGTATCAATATTCTCATTTAACCGTTGGCAAGAAAAGCAAAAACGTTTCCCAAAATGTGCAACTATTCATTCAAGAATGTTTTTGATTTCTGCTCTAGAAAAATAAAATGCGTCACTGCTTCGCAGGTGCCACATGATCATTTCTCATGACCTGAACCTGACGATTTATGGCTTTTAAATGAACTGATACAGATGTAATCCGGATTGTGTCGAATCAGTCGATGAGAAGGATGAAAAGCCAGAAACACAAGCTGTTGTCTGAAATAAGTTTGATTAGTCTGGTTAGAAGATAACAATGCACAGAGCATCCTTTATTTCTCCCATGTCTGTTAAATCAGCTTGTGATACATTTTAATTAAACCCCTTTAGATCAGAACCGCCCACCCGCAGCAGTAAAAGAAAAGGAGCTGAAAGCTGGGAGTTCTCCTGAAGGCAGGCTGACACTCGCCGTGTAATCTGTAAATTACCCGGCTCCTGCCTACCTCTGTGTGTGTGTGTGTGTGTGTGTGATAATTAAAACTTCAGTGGGTATGAGAAAGAAAGATGATTAACATGTTAGTGCTTGTGCTGATGCTACTCTCTGGCAGACAGACACTAAAGTCTGTAGGCATCGCTCAAATTCCACCATCAACTTTTGGCTTTTTTATTGACTTTCTCTGTCGTTTGACCTTTTTCCGATCAGCCGCCAGTTCACAAAAATACTTAAAATAAGTAAGTGTATAAGTGTAAGAACCCAGTTTTGCTCCTACAGAGACACCAGACACACATGGGATTATATCAAAGTTTGATTTATCAGAGGTTAACCTTCGATTCATCCCCACTTAAAGACGTATCAAGCTTCTCACCTCAAACAAAGTGCTTTTTTTCATGTTGATGCTGCTCTGTAATTCTGCCCCTCTCAGTTTGTTTGGACCTGAGTATCCAGATTGCCCTGCAGTATCACCGTTTTGCAGTATGTGTTATTCAGCCTTTGAGACGTGATTAGATGAAACCACAAGACGCTAAACAAAATTCCAGTTCAGACTCATATCCTTGTCCCAGGGAGTGTAAACACATACTCGGAGTTAATGTCTGCCGCCACAGGGCACCAATGTGTGTGTGTGTGTGTCTGTGTGTGTGACATGAGTCTCCGAGACCATGGGAAGTGGTGGGCACATGCCAAAAAGGTGAACAGTATATCATGTTGAGGGAAATAAAAGACTGATTAACAGAGCAGATTTACAAGCTGCCAGGGGTTTTATAGCTCAATTAGGAGCAAGTAAAAACAATTGATGAATAATCCAGTCACGGAGACGAGAGGGAGGGAGGAAGAAAGAGAGACATCTGGACAGCCCGTTGTTTTCTAGCGCCCGACCTTCTCTGACACTGCAGCTTGTTCACTTCAGCAGGAGCAGGTCAGAGATGGAGAGACAAACTGTTTGTGTAGATAATTTGACATTTTAACGCCTGCAAACACTTTCTGGGGAAAAATAAAAGGTCCATAAAACTCGAGGCCAAAGCTAACACGCCAGTGAAAGATCGGATGTGAACTCTGCCAGTGACTAATTGAAATGTTTTGTGGTGGTACAATCTGCTGTATTTAACATAATTTGGAAGAAAGTAGTCATCCGGTTAGAACAAGGGTATCATGCTTATTCTGCCTCTTGCTGAGATTTAAATGAGAAGATTGATTCCTCTGGCCTATCTGTGCAGTATGTGTTACAGAAACTTGGCTTAGCTTAGCACAAAGACTGGAAACAGAGGGGTGCATGTAGCTTCCAAATCACTTTTAAGCTCATTAATTTGAATCCTGTAAGATAAATATCACAAAGAGATGTTGTCGTTTTGTTTGTCTATCCGTTAGTCAGCAGGATTACCATGAGACTTGGTGGAAGGATGATAAGTCAGGGAAGAACCCCTAAAGTTTTGGTGTGAATCTGGATCGGTGGGTGGATCCAAGATTTCTTTTGCGAGCATTTTCCAACATTTTCATTGATTCCTCAGATAAGAAAATATGGATCTAGATGAAAAAAATCTGTCTGACTGATAGTTATGACTGTGTGCAATTTGGGGGGAATCAAAATAAAAATTTGGATCTAGTGAATTTAAATGTAGTTTGATACAGAACAGTTGGGTTTCCAGTCTTTGTAATAAGGTGATCTAACTGGCAGTACAGTCATATTCACCGCAACAATATCTTGATAGTACTAATCTTTTCATCTATCTGTTGACGGTAAATAAGCATATTTCCTTAAATGACAAACGGTTATTTTAATCAAAGTTTCACAGGAACAAGGGTTTGAATTAATCTAGTGGCTGATTCAAAGACACATAATGTGCAAAAATGTGAATGAGAAGAGTGTGTGCGAACTGGGACTGAGGTGTGTATATGTGTGTGTGTTTCACAGGCATGCAAAGCACCAGACCAAGAGAGAAACCTGTTATTGACCCTTTCAGCACGACAGTGTTCCCTCACCCAGATAAAGGTAAATGCAAATACACAGAAGAAAATACACAGTCATCCATCACCTTTTATCATCCATTCTCACACACACACACTCACAAAACATTCAACCATCAATAATAACCATGGCTCCATGTTTCAGGTTCCAATGGACAGGGTCACCTAGCAACGGCACTCATCATCGCCATGTCAACCATATTCATCATGGCCATCGCCATTGTCCTCATAATCATGTTTTACATCCTGAAGGCAAAACCGAGTGGACAGGGTGAGACACACACACACACACACACACACACACACACATGCACACACAAGTTGGCATGTGTGATTAATGAGGTTCTATGTTTCTTTGTGCTTGTGTGTGTCTGCAGCATGTTGTTCCGGACAAGTTGTGAAGGCAGTGGAGGCTCAGACCAACAAACAGGAAGACAAGAAAGATGTTCCAGGTGAGACAGGACGGACACACACATTTGCACTGCTATAGTAGTAAGGACACTCATTGACATAATACATTACCTAGCCCTTCCTTAATCTTAACCATCCAAACTAAATGCCTAACCCTAACCTGAATTCTTACCCTAACCCTAAAACCAAGTCTTAACCCTCAAACAGCCCATTGAAAAGGTGAGACTGGCCAAAGTATCCTCACTTTCCAAAAATGTCCTCACTCTGTAAGGTCTATGCTTAAAATGGTCCTCACAAAGATATAAGTACAGGACCACACACACAATTAGTAATGAGACATGTTATTTAAGCATCTTAATAGATTCCTGTTTGACGAGCCTCACAACCAGAACTGACTTAGTTCCACTTTGTAGCCGTAACAAAGAACAATGAATCTGTTTACATGCACATTAGTCTCCTGGTTATAAGCCTCACCCTGGTTTTCATTAGAATCTGAATGTGATGTTTACATGAAACATAAGTAAAGTATTTATTCATATCCTTGTATACATGATCCTAATATTATCCACATTTTTGGCCATATGTTTGAGTGCAGGCACGCGTTTGACTCAGCAGTCGTTCCAGCACATTCAGGTTCCTCACAACAGGGAGAAGTGATTTAATTGTGATATTTAAAGATATATGTCATAATTCTTAACTAGGGTGTGTGATGAAGGAAAAACAACACTGATTGCCAGTTACCTGTTTTTTGCTTCAGTGGATCAAGATTATTCGTTGTCTTTTGCTGCGCGTTCTGTCACAAAGCTCTCAAATATAAAAACCATCCAAGAAGAATATAGGACAGGAAACGCTAACAAGTCCCATGATCCCACGGTGCTTCATGACAACATCACACTAAGTCTTTTGTGATTGTTTTGATTGAGACCTCTAGTGGCAATTACATATTGCACATTTAGATAATTACATAAACATAATACTCTACCAAGCCCTCAATTCAACTTCAACACACATTTTATTTTTCACTCTTAAACCAAGGATGCCATTTTGTAATTTCTATGGCACAAATTGATTGATTGAAATTGTATCATACAATCTGAAAAAAGTAAAGCTTTAAAATACACTAATGTAGAGACAGTGAGTGTTTGTACTGTATGTAAGCAACATCTGTTTTATGTCTTCTCTAATGTTCTCAGTGTTTTCATATCTGTTGAATAAACAGGCCAGCAGACACTGATCATCACCACGTCTCCATAAACTCTGCTCACACGTCGCACAGTCCTTTAATGGCGAGCCGACAAAATGAGCGCCCAATAGCAGATGCACTTCACACTTAATCCACTCCATAATAGTAGAAAGGCACTCGTAGCTACATAATTATAGTTACAAGGCCAACTGTAATTTGTATTTTTTTACTCCTATACGACTGTGAAATTGCTCCAAAAATAATCACAGTGACACAGCACACAATTTGCGTGGCAGTCAGATGAGGAATGAACTCATACCACCCAGCTGTGATTACAGCAACATGTGTATAATTTGACTCAATCCTCTTTAACCTTGATTCAGGTGGCTGCGACTGGCTTATGTGTTAAACCCAGACACTTTATATCAGCCTGTAGTCAGGCTTAGAGTCGCTTCAGTATTATCCAACAATTTCCTGCAGTGCTGCTGACTTAGATTTTCTTTTTTTTTTAAACTTGTAGGTGCATATTGCATTTATTTTTGCAGAAAAAATAATTCTTTCTCTATTCTCTTTATCACTTATGTTTCATTATGGGACATTTGAACCGCCTGTTCATCACATCTGTGATAAAGATGTTATCGAACAAATCTCATCAAATCTAACTGAATCACATTTAAATGTTAATACGGTGTTGTCTCCGTGTGTCAGTCTGGTATGTACATGTGTGTATGTATGATGATTTCAGCGTGATTTATGCAAACGCGTGTGTGTGTCTGTCTGTGTCTGTGTGTGCTGACGGACCTGGAGTATGATGAGTACCTTGTGGTGGAATGTGAAGCTTCCAAAGCTAAAGCCATACTTTGCTTTAGGCGCCATTTCTACAATGATGCTCTGTTCAATTTCACTCTCAGACTGACTGACTAACCATTTACATGTGGCGTGGATGCAGACACACATGCTCACAGGCACACACACTCACTCACACTGCCACAAACACATTGTGTGTTATGACAAGTTTGTTCACTTAATGGTAGCTAAAAAAATTGATCTGAATTGTGAGTGAATGCTGTGTGTTAGTGTTTCATACATTTGGGATGACTGGTGTGTGTGTGTGTGTGAAGCTCATTGCTTGAAGCTCTACCGGAGCTGTCTGTCACTCATGTAGACACCGAGGTAATAAGTCTGTGAAATGAAAGACACACATGCTTAAGTTTCTTCCTCTTACACGTTGTGTTTGTTCCACTTAAGCATTCACTCATTTCTTTATTCAAGGTATGAATTCTCACCAGGCCACAGGAATCTGTTCTCTTTTGTGTTTTTCGAACAATCATGCAAACATCTATGAACTTTTGTGAATTAAACTTTCAATTGGGGTTGGTGTTTCTGAATCCTCTCCCACTATGTTAAATATATTTGAGAAAACAAAACACATGTGAACGTGTACGTCTTCTCGTTTTCGCTCTTAGACAACGTGGTGATCTACTCAGAAAAGGACGAGTTTGACAAACTCAAAGCTCCTCCACAGAAGACGGTCAAAAGGTGAGAGACCCCTGTTGATTTGTGAGCAG